TCGCCTTATAACCCTAACACATACAATTCAGCTCTGTATCAGGGCTGTAGGAAATCCTTGCTTCCCCACTGAAATAAAGAAAATCAAGTTCATGTAGCCAAGTTTTTATTCCAGAATTATTTAAAAAGATATTTAGACAAAGAAAACCCAAAACTCCCAAAAAACAACCTCTCAGGTGAACTACAAGTTGCAATTTAGACTTTTTTAAAGGGACAAAACTAAAAAAAAAAAAAAATGTCCAGCCTCCACTACTCTTTCCTTCCTCCCATTTTGTTTTTATAGAGCGACAATTATTTTTCAGCCACTGTAGGGAACATCTCTGAAGCGTGATATTACTATTACTAGCTATCAGCCCAGCTGTGGGAAGCTATTCTCATTTTACAGAGCAGCAGACAATACACATATATTGGTCCTCTTTATGTATATCTTTACATACTTACAGTTTTGGCTTATAATTGCAGAATTAGATTCTTCTTTAGGAGCCAGCTAGGTAGGATGAGCCATGCCTGAGGATCAGTACTCCAGTCTTGCAATGCAATTTAACAGTACATGCAGGTTGAATAGAACTTCTCTTTCTGTTTTTCTTCCTTTTGCTTCTATCCCAAGCAAAAACAGAACCAAAAAGCTGAAGCCAAAGACTTCCAGCAATGCCAAATGAACTGCTCTCAAAATAATGGTCTTAAGTTTGCACCTGCTTATGGGGGGGCTTTTCAGTGACCATACCCTCGGGATTTGAAGGGCCTGGTGGTTAGGGCTAGTCTACCTGGCCTCTAACCCCTTCACAGAGCTTAACCTGTGATGCAGTTAAATCACTATAGCTAGATCAGTTTTTAAATTAAAGAGAGTAAACACTTCTAATAATACTGCCTTTAACTGTAGTGTTTCTATTTTTACATTGTACTGGATGAGGAGTTGGAATGTTTGTGCAGATGATCACAAACACTCAGATCACAGCAATTTGAAAAATCACCATCTCTTACCTGAGAAAGAGAAGATGGCTGAGGAATCTCCGTTTGTTGCGATCTGAAGAAAAATGGTGTGATCAATCACCAAGCTAAAGTGATAGCTTCCACATTAGGGATGGCATACACTGCTGACTGTGTGACCTTGACCATATGAAACTGAGTGGAGTGAACAAACTGATGACTGTAAAGGTATTAGGTGAAAGAGAGGAATATCTGAGATATATTGAATCAATATCTTCCGTGTTGATGGTTTGCCTTTAAGTACTAATTTCTTTAAGAAATTATGATGAATGTGGTCACTATTGAATTTTACTGGCTAATTGCTACTGATCATATATAGACCTGGATGAACTCTGTCCAAAATCTGATAAACTTAGCCCTTCTTTGAATTTGTAATTTGTGAAAAAAGTAATTTAGATTATGTAAGGTAACAAATATTTGAGTCTACAGGCTTCTGTCAAATTAATTGATGCAACTCTGCTTCAGTTTTCAAAGACTTGCAATTAATTTATGCTATTTTTCTGTTCCTGAAAAGAACAAAAAGATACAAAGTAAGAGAAATGTTACTCATTGAAGAACCTTAAAATATTGTGGCTTTTCTTTTGTATAAGCCCTTCTGAAATCTCAATTTTTTATTTTTTTTTTCCACTTCTGTAAATAACTTCCGGCAATAAAAGATGGAATACCAAAGCTGTGTGTATGCATAGGTGGTCTTTAAACTAATTCACTCTTAGTGTGTAACACTTGAAAGCTATTACTTTGTTTATTTTTAAGGGAAAGGATTTAGTGAAAGATAGTTAGTATCAATTAGTATTAAGAAAATAAAAATCTGGTTTTAATACTTTATTTTTAGTAAATTGATTCGTTCCTACATCTTACCTGAATTATGTGCATCCTGAGTAATATGAATAGGTATATCGAGTTATTTTTCATGACATAGTAGTTTCATCTTTCCGCACACAAACAAAAAATTGAACTATGCAAGTTATATGCTTACCTCAACAAGTGACTTTCTCGTTCCATTTGTCACAACATGGGGACTGGCCATATCTCCTTGCAGACCACCAGAGTCAGCTGCATGCTGGATTTATTACTTGTGTAGGACCGTCAGAAAATACTACCATGTACTCACCCCTACCCTTCCAAATACAGATTAAGTAAATTACAGGCAAAGAAATGTGACTGCATGACTCTGAGTTGCAGCTTCGCCTTATAACCCTAACACATACAATTCAGCTCTGTATCAGGGCTGTAGGAAATCCTTGCTTCCCCACTGAAATAAAGAAAATCAAGTTCATGTAGCCAAGTTTTTATTCCAGAATTATTTAAAAAGATATTTAGACAAAGAAAACCCAAAACTCCCAAAAAACAACCTCTCAGGTGAACTACAAGTTGCAATTTAGACTTTTTTAAAGGGACAAAACTAAAAAAAAAAAAAAGGATATTTAGGAACTTTCCATAACATACAGTGACAAGTTAAACCCTTGAATGAGTGTTCAGAATGAACTAGAACAGGTAAACTCTGAAAATAGCAGCAAATAATAATTATCTGTATCCAATGGCTCTGAAGACCCAAATTTCATTTTCATTCCCCAGCTACAGGATGGCATTAGCACTCCTTTGAAGTAGAGATGTGCCAATACTACAGTACCTTTTCTATTCGATTATTCATGAATGTTAATGATTCTTTAGCATCTAACTGCCATATGGAGATAAGGCGGTCAATATATGTGAGCTAATCATGCTCATTGAAGAAAAAATGAAATTAGAAAACACAATATTCTCTTACCAAAACACTTTTCTGTCAAGTAAGCCGAAATATGTGGCATAGTAGTTCAAACAGTAGGATTTATTCTCTCACGATGAGAATAAATCTAATTCCATACAGGAGCTGGCAAAAGGAGATGCAGGAGATACAAAGAGCAGTTGTAGGTCAACATTTTATTTTACTTACATTGGACCACTCTGACTCCAAATGATGGTATTCAAGATTCATGTTTTAGCACAGCCCAGTCCATTTTAAATTATGCCAGCAAGTTGCCATTTGGGTTTTGTTCGAGGATTTGGAAGCAGCAGTGACAGATCCTGAGTTAGTATACCCACCCAGGATTGGCGTTCCATGTGCTTAACATGTGCTTAATTTTCTTTGCAGAAAATATTCCTCTTAACTGAGATTTGCCCCCTTGTCTTTAATTTTTATAATATCATAATGATTATTTTAGGTGGAACTGGCCATCTCACAGTTGAAGGGGCTTCAGATCACGGGCTTGCATTTCTGCTGCATTGGTTTTACACAGTGAAATCACTGAGGTCCCTCAGCTTAACAGTATGTAATCAAAATATCACACAGATAAATCAAATTAAAGTTTTAGTCAGGTTTAAGGGAGATTTTTTAGCAGGTATAATGAAGAGTAATTTGAAATTAAGAACAGGCCTACGATTTTTTTTTCTCTCCCGCAAAGTTGAATGATATCCAGATCTTGGATTCAGACACACATCAACACATGTTTATTTTGTTTAGCAAATAATTAAATTACCTATCTGTTGCTCAGAGCTGAGTAGGGGCAATGAATACAATTTATCTGAATAAGTAGTAAGGACATCTCTAAAGAAGGAATTTGAACAGTATTTTTCTCTAGTATGTATATTCTGATGAGGTGCAGGATGAAAGGACGCTGCTGAAATAAGCCAGATTTTTTTTATTATAACATTACTAAAGGAATGGAGCAACATGTCTTGGATAACACATCTGAAGAGGGATAAGTATTTGGAACAGAATTTCATAATTTAACAAAGCTTATATCAGTCTTAAATGATTGTTAATTGCTGCATTCTTAAGCAGTGTGCAGCAAGTTTAGATTGCTGACTGCTGGGAAAGTGGGGAAACACAATTGCTTTATGTTTCTTCCATTTAACCCTCCCTCCCTAACCCGAGACTGAGTTCAGCTGGTTCAGCTTCAAGAGCTGAACTCATGCAGTTTGTTTGAAAGCAATAGAGCTGTACCTACTGCTACCAACTGAAAAGAGAACAACACAAACTTCAGGCAAAAAAACAAGCGCTGCAAGGAGATGCGAATAGAAAACACAATGAGTGTAGGTCCAGAGATCCCTCAAGCCATAACATTTTCCAGGTTCACACCTATACCTGTAATGATCAGTAACTAACAAAACAGAACTTACATTTGCCTCCAGAAAACAAGGAATTAAAATAGGTTCAGAATAAGAGCTGAGAGGAAAGCCTTGTCTCAGACTTGACTTGTCTAAATGAGATCACCCATAAACCTAGTTAGTTTCAATCCCCTGGCTTAATCCAGTCCTGGGTGGAGTTAAGTCTATGGCTATGATAGATTTGTTAAGCTTTCAACACACAAAATCTGTCAGTTCACAGATGCACTAGCCTGAAGCCATGTCTGGAGAAAAGGCTTAATCCTTTGATTTAATGCTGTACCAAGTCAGGAGGAGTCAGCTATCCTCCCATCACATTTGTTTCAAGTTTATATATGCAACTTATATAAATACATACTTTTCACTGAGCAACTTCCATTGTATTTTAGAGTGTCCCCTACATGGGATATTTTTAAACATAAGTGCAAGTACGTGTGTGGCTCCCATTATTCTAAAGGTGATGAAAGGTGGAAAAGAAATGCAATAACATGCAGCGCGTACCACGGTATGTCTTGTCCTGTACGCAATCACCATACCAATCTATTAACAGATTTGTCTATTGTAGCTCACTCTCTCAACAACTCTCTTTGCAGTAGTACAGGTCCACTGATTTAAATCCAATTAGATTAATGTATACTAATTACTTATCGGTCCATATGTGACAATTTTTGTATTAGTGAGGGAAGCTCCTTGGAAATGAAAGCGTTGCAGTAGATTGCAGCTATTAGTGAGGTTATGAATAAATAAAAGCATAATTTGAGACTTTATTTGAGCAATAATTTTCTAAATATACTCACTAAGTACTTGCTTTTTGGTTTTCTTCTGCTTGAAGGCACCTGCAGACTGGTGAGTACGTTCACTGTTCCAGCCCCAGTGTACTTTATCAATGGCCGTTGTAACTGAGCCTGAAATTCTGAGCATGAAAAAGCATGAAATTGTTGCCCACCCAATCCCCTGCAACTTCCCTTAATCACTGTTCCTCCTGCCCAAAAAACAGCATAAGCAGTTGTTCGCCTTTAACATAATGCAGATCAGATTGACAATGCAATTTTAAAGGCAACTTTTTATTCACGACTACCCAGAAAAAAAGGCTATTTTGCCTGGCTGTTCCCAAAAACATGATAACAATGTGTGATTTTTATCTTTTGATTAGCTAGCGCTAGGAACAGAAAGAACCGGTAAATCTGAAGGTGGGGCCTGGATAGGAAACATGCATCTTTATGGACCTTCATTATAATCCCAGCCACTGGATTTTCCTGAAATAATACTAGATTGTCTTCAGAAGGAAACTAGAACACCTTCAAAAAATCCCTCCAAAATTAGCTCTCAAAATGATTTTTAAAACTCTAGAAGAAAAAGAATCTATTTGTAGTTTTCATCCTTGGTTTCCAAAGATTTTCAAATACATCTAACCCTACTATCTACATAACCTAAAGGCTTTGCATAAATTGATGTAGATTCACTTCTTTTATTGGATCCAATTTTGTACATATTGAGAAAAAAATGAACATTAACAGCTTTATAGTGCAATCAATATAGGGCTGAAAGGAAGATGGAATCTGAAACTTATATCATATTGCATACTCATTTTAATAATAAAAAACTATAATAAATTGGAAATCAGGAAAAGTTTGAGATAAAAGACGCTAAATAGTGTTAAAACATTCACTTCATAGAGGATTTTCAAGACCCGAACTCATGCAGTTTGTCTGAAAACAATGGAGCCTGCATACGCATTTGAAATCAAGTAGTTAATTTACCATTGTACCAAGAAAAGCGAATATTGTATGAGGTACAGGTTGCATTATAAATAGTGTTCTCTGACCTGAAGGAAAAAGTACAAGACAAACAGTACAACTTGGTTTGCAGCAGTGTCAAAAAATAGTTGTTAGGTGTGTCTAAAAAAATATTTATCTGTTATAGGAGATACACATCTAAACTGGGTAAATGTTGCATAGAGGCCAAGATTTCTATTATGCCAGGGCACTGATTCAGCATTCAACCAGGGGAATCCAAATATGTTTCTACAGGCCTGTACAAGATTAATAAATTAGCATGTTTCTACACTGGAAGATGACAGCGAGTAGGCTCTATGAACAATACCACAGAAATAGTCTTCCTTGTAGTATCAGTTCTTAAGAATAAATCTCATGATGCTTAATTCCTATAGTCTCTTGTGAGGTGATTTCAGTGCAAGGTTTTGTGTGACTAAGGGCTCCTATATGTGCTATAGTAATTGTAATATTAGTTTTTTCCTACCCTTTGCTATCTGTGCAACTTCTTCGTGCCAATATTGACGCCAACTCTTGATGGCTGATTTCCAAATATGCTGCAGGCCTCTCCACAACTGATCCCTGCTGACACTATTAGTTAAATTTGGAGAAAGTAAATGGATTAGCCATGCTAACAAATTAGCAACTACCCAACAAGATAAAGATGTCATGTAAAAGATATCTACAGAAATATGAGATGCTGACACAGTTAGTATATCTTGAAAAACAACTTAATTCTGCTTTCAACTTATAACTGTTTTTTACCGAGATGTAAAAGGAGATCTGGTGACTTTGCATAGCAGCTATCTACTATACAGGGGCTATGTCCGGTTACTCATGCTCATGTTAAACACAAACTTCAACTCAATAAATGGCCCCTCTGAAGCTGATGGGACCACGCAATGCATAAGTAAGCATGAGCAATGATATTCGTCTAGCCCTAGCAAAACAAAAAAGACAATTATTTAATTTCAATGAGTCAAGTCCAGCTGCACTCAGAAATCAAAATTTCCGCTGACACAAATGGAATTATCCCTGAGTAAGAAGGCAGGATCTGATTAGAGCAAAAAATCAGTCTAGACCCCAGAGGGAACAAGCTGGAACCCTTGATGTCAATGTCAGAGTTGTTCATCCTAAACATTTACGAATTTTCCAGGATTTACAAATGTTTCATGAATAATGTGGGCCACCCAAATGCTTACAAACAAAGAATAGCAAAAGTAACTTGTAAAACTACCCAAACTGGAACACTAATTTGAAAATATATCAGTAACTCATTTTTAAAATTAATTCACCATCTCCACTGGAGAAGCCAAGGGACGCCTTAAAAAAAGCGCCAACCCTGCAAACACTTAACACCTACTCAGCATGTGCACATGATTATCTTCATTCAAGTCCATGAGCTAGACCTTACTCCTAGTACTCCACTGTCAGCGAGTGCTGCGAAGTGTAATTTCAAGAGAAGTAATTTTGCAGAATTAGTGTCTTGGATTGTTGTTTTTCCTTTTTCATGTACTGCCGGTGCTGACATCAAATTTAGCAACTTACTTACATACTTACAAATTAGACTACAAAACCCTTGATTTTGCATAAAACAACAGAAGGCTTTTTCTCATCCTTAGTTTTTAAAGGTTTCATCTGGAAGACATAGCATACTATGTGATACTCATTTTTGTTTTTTTGAGTGGACTAAGTCAAAGATTGAGCCAGCCCTGAAGGGATTTAAATATGTGGTTCCAGAAAGACTGTGTATTGAAAAACTGGTATTTAAACTATGCACAAAAGCAGACCACCATGTAAGATAGTTGGAGGGAACATATGGCTAATTTTGTTTTCTTTAATAGTTATACAAATATACATACTAGCAAAACACGTAAGTAAGACTTATAAAGAAATAGACTTTAGTGAAGAACTGTTTATAATCAGCATTATGGTCAGTGAAAAGGAGATTCTGCTCCACTACAGATCTAATATCATTAAAATATCAAATATGAACAATTGTTATTGTCTTTAAGAGAAGAATGTAATTACACAATTATTTTCCCCTGCAACTTCTCTTAGCAGGATATATGACAGCAATTTGCAATGCTGAAAACAAAGTCTAGGATTATGGAAGCTAATTGTCTCTTCCTCCCCTGCTGTCATTTTGAACATCTGTTCTCATCTCCTCTGTCATCCAGCATATTCTAAGTGTGCTGCTGTTAATTGCCCACTAAGGCGAGACCAAAAATACTAAAAATGTATATTTTTCTAGGTAGCTCCTTAACAGAGTACTGCAACGTTATGATACGTTTGAAAAAGCAAACAATGAAGTTCTTAATGGTACCTGAACTATGAAGCAGTTCTCTAATATGTTTGTTAAGTGCCACGTTGATGTGAAAAAAAGACATACTGATTGAAGAACCTCTTTCCTTTCACCATTTCCAAATGCAGTAATAGTCCTTCATAACACTGATTAGCTGGAAGAAAGATAAGATATTTTAGTTTAGGTCACATCGTGGCCTTGCCAACATCTTCTTCAGCTGTGGAAAGCATATCTCTGCTCGCAGGAAGATCATACTGTACTAGATCTGCTAGCCTGTTCAACTTATTATGCATGATTTTGCTTCAGCTCTTCACAAAGCTTTCAGAGGACAAGGTCAATGTTTTTTATTATCCTACCATAAACGCCCAGTCTGTGCACCAGAACGATTCTGCATTAGCTATAAGCACAATACAATAACCATCATGTTAACTGTTGACTGAAGAGTGGACATACTCACTGAAAGGAATCTTTAGATCTAGAGCTGGAGTAAAGTTATAGGCAAAATGGAGTTTTTGAGAAAAACGCAAGCTGAAATAAAAGCATTCTGCAAACTCAGTAAGGTAGAAATAATGAGGACTGACCTGGACTTTAAGAGATAACTTGGTCACTTCCTTTTGCAGCGGCAGATCACCTATTTTGTTATTGACAGAAGTTTGTTTAGCCTATTGTCAAAGATCTTTTAATCACAGAGGTGCTGCAGGTTTTTCAAGGAATCTATCTTTACCTTCATAAAACGGCCCTTTCACTGTCAGAACATTCCTTCTAACGGCTAATCTGCATCTTTTTAATTTTTTGCAACTTAACCTTTTATTATGCACATGTCATTTATGCAATATTTCTGTGCAGGTAATATTTCAGTCTCCTGTGATTTATGACCTGCACTTTCCTAATTTCTCTCCATTTGGTGCACATCTTCCTGGAAGTGTGCTGGCCAAAGCTGGACATTGAAACACTGAGCTGAGGTCATCTGCCCTAACTGTGTTATCTTGCACTTTTCCCTGTTGAATAACATTCTATTTTCTCAGTTTCTCCAACTTATCAAGCTCAATTTTAACTCTTTCTTGCCTTTGACCATCTCTGCAGTCCCTCCAGGAAAAAGTATCAGATACAAGTTCAATAAACTTACTCTCTAGTTCACAGTCCAGTTATTAATTATTGAATATTACTGGACACAGGACAGACATCCACCAGGACAATTGGTAAACCATGGCTAACTACTTCTCACATATAATTGTTCAACAATAAGTTTTGTATCCACCCTATATAGGAATTTCATCTAGATAATGTAGCTTGCTTATAACAACATCATTTAATAGAATGCCCAAAGCCTTAGTGAAGTCAAGACATCTCCTGTTTTTCCTATAAGGCCACTACTCTACTGAAGATGGAAATTAGACTTGATGTAATTTGTTTTTGGCTGTTTATCCTCTCTTTGTTTTCTTCCAGCTAGTGACAAAGACTTCATCTGATTGTTTTTCTGGTGTTTTTTGCATAAATCACATTAAGCTGACTAGCCTGTATAATTCTATGGGCCATTCCTGACCATCACTTCTTCAAACTGATTTTTTCCAAGTTGTTTTTAGGGGGAAAAATGAGGATCCCATTTCCAATAAAGTTGAAAAAATAGTTTGAATGTTAAGGAAAATATTCTAATTTTTTGAATCAAAATAACTTTAGTTTAAACATCTTTTTTTTTCCCACCATAATAAGAAAGAAGCATTTAAAAATTCACTTCTGCATTTCATGCATATTTTTCAGGGCTGGACTACATTGCACACTTGACTCAAACTGGTGTTGTAATCAATTCTTCAGTTTACTGAAAAAAAAACCATTAAATTATTTTCCTTCAGGTTGACGAAAAATACTTGACAATGATCGGTTTCACTCCCCTAGAAGCCATCAGAAGATACTGGTCCTTGAGTCTGTGGTCCTTGAGCATAAGTCCTTGAGTGTATAACTTCTACAATATCTCCTTTAGAACTGACTACTTGTGGTTCATCTTCACAAGCAACATTATCCAAAGCACATTTGCTTTCCAGAAGTGAGTATCAGTGCATTAGCATGAGCTTCGGAAAAATTTGTGCTCTCTGACCTAAAAAAGGAGTTGCTGACATGATGAACTACTCCTGGCTTCACAACATACTGGAAATATTTTAAAAATTCCAAAAATGAGATTAACTCCATAGAGGCAGCTGTTAATCCCATAAAATATTATACATGTGTAGAATATGCCTACAATTAATAGATTTTCAAAGTATTACTTTTTGCTTGAGCAGAGTGTTTGTCTTTTGGTAAATTTACTATTCATTTGGACGCTTTCCTTTAGTAAAAGGAAACTCAAGCTACCTTTACATCTAATGTTAAGCAGAAAATGTAGCTGTCTTCTTCACTTTAGAGACCTTACTTACAGTAAGTGATTGATCCTAATGGCAAGTGAACAGTATCCTGTTACTTTTATACTTTGCCTTACACTTTAATATTTTTCCTTTTTTAAGTTTCTTGAAGATTGAATATATAAATAGATTTAATAAGATAGAACCAACTTAATATGAATAACAAATACAACTTTATGTGGATCCTACCTCTCAAGGCCCAGGTTCTCAATTCCTCTATGAGTCAAAACTTGATTATAATATAACTTATACTCACTAGCTAGTTCTGACATTTGACTCATTTGTCACTCTTAAGCAGCAGAACATACTATCCAATGCGTCTCAGGTCACTAATGCATCTCATTTTGAGAAAGCATACCTAATTTTCAGCATTTGTAAGTACTGATATTATTACGGACTTAAATTAGTGTAAATGTGTACGAGTTGTTTACAGTGGAGATCAGCCCAATTTCCTACAGAGTGTCTGTGATTAAAAGGATATCAACATAGCATTATTCTGTGGCTAGGACTTAAAAGTAGATGACATCAGTTTGCATATTTTTTGTTTCAAATAAAAAGCAAAACTAACATAGATGTGTACAAATCAGGGTCAATCTAATGAGGTTCTTCTCATCGCTTGCATTTGCTAAAAACTGAATCTTAACTGAAGTTTCCGAAATTCTCTCAACAGTACTGTGTAGCCAAAAGCTTTCAGTTTGTACTTTGGTTTGGCAGTAAAACCCAAAAGAGGGCAGTATAATCCTATTACAGTGTTACAGCCTACAAGCAGGTGAGTCTTGCAAAGCTAAAGGAATATCAGAGGTCTATTTGTCCCGCTGTCTGTCAGTCAGAGCCTGGCCTTTAACAGAACAGCCTTAGTGGGGTATAAGTAAGCTTAAGGTCAGGAGGTAAGAGTTCAAACATATTTAAGGCCTACGTCTGTTGTCCTTACAGTCTCAAAAATACTAACCTATGAAATAAAGAAATAGCAATCTTCCTGATGCATATTATTAAATAAAGCAGCAAAAATACCAGTGTTATATGCACAAATATAAAAAAGCTAAATCTAGTAGTAATTCCAGTTCTTGGCCTGCAACTCTGAACACAGATTCAAGACCATTTGGATCTGGGCTTTTAATTCTGCCTAGTTATAAATTACATGTTATAAACACATGTCTATCTGATTAAAGGGTTGGGAAAGAGCTTGTCAAGCCCTACTAGTATTTAGAGCAGGTGCTACATAAAGGCAAAGAAAGCAAAAATTCACTTTGATTAATTAACTTGTGAAAGTTATAATCCTTTTTACTAAATTGTTGGAAACATTTTCCCATTTCTATTATTTAATCAACGTAGTAGAAAGTTGGAAGAAAAATGCATACATCATATATATTCTTAATAGATAGTCTTAAGGAAGTAAAGGAAACCACAGCTGTGATTTCATTACAGATAGGCTTTTTAAGATATGTAGTGAGAATCCTGAGAAACTTAAGTCTAAATAGAAAAGATGAACAGAAAGAAAAGATGAATGAAAGGAAATACATGCACTGAAGAACAGTGTTTTTTACCCAAAGCCACATGGCTCAGTGATAGCTCCAGAAGAAGAACCCAAGCTTCTTGAGTCCCAACCCAGTGATCTTCTAATCTAATTTCATTTAAGGCTATCCCACTGTCATTGCAGATACAGGTTTCTTGCTCAGTTGCAGTCTGTAGAATGATACATGCTTTTATCATTCTACAGAAATGCTTGTTCTGGAACAGTTTGGGAAAGAGCAAGGTTATTTTTAAGTGTAAATATCTTAATGGTGCAGGTACCTGTGGGATATAATCCAGTCATATTTGTGATTAAGAGATGAAGCTGAATTTTCAGTGACAGTTAATATGAGCAAGGTGGGGTTTTTTGCTTCTTTTCTCACCATACTGTTACAGATAACTGGAGCAGAGTTCAGCACAGACAGAATATTCTCATTGACAACTGTATTGTTAAGCCTATCTACATTTTTTTCCCTCCACTTTTTGCTATGAGTTAATACTGTTTTGGAGCAGGTTAGGGTGTGTGGTTTTAAGGAATTGGACTGTATATGAAAATTCTAGAGGATCATAAATTTTAATTTTATGCCACATTAGGGGTATTTATCCTTTTAGCTTCATGTTATATTACTGATTTTTAAATTAAGGCAGGATTATTTGGATTGATACCTGTGACAGTTCTAACAATCCACTAAGCAATCACTATTCTACCAATAACCCATTCTCAATAATGAAATTGGTTTAATTTAAAATGTTACTACTTTGTTAGACACTGAGATTTTTTAGACAGACACTTATCAGAATGACAGTTACTTTTCATAATCATGATTCATGCATATCTTTTACAAATTGCTCTTTTTTCCTCTTCTATTTTTAAGTGGTGAAATTTAATATATTCTGACATACCTAGTTTCATTCTTGCATCAAAAAAGTTCTATAAGAAAAGAATGATGATAAAGAAAACTTTCCAAAAGGTACCTTGAAAGTCTTACTCAGCTTTTACTCAGCTGTGACTCAGGAAACTTCTAAGCTCTCTTGGATTATTCAGCTTCTAAATGCAATATTTATCCATGTTGACACAGGTTGCTTTAGATACTGGTTACCAAAACAACAGCTCAATTTTTTTCTTTTTTTAGATAAATACTTATAGAAATAAGTGCACTATTAAACAAAAAAAAATTACATGAATCTTGTCTTGTGGTAGGTGTGGTTTTTTATAGTTGCAGAGT